TTTGCTTTGGAGATGAATTTGTTATTTGGAAAGGTTCACACCATACCAGTAATAAAGGAGAATGATGGATTATTCAATGCAGGGTTCAAGTATTCCACTTTCTTAGCATTTTGTATTACATTCTTCAAATGAATTAATGTCAAAGGTAAGGAACAGCAAGAACATCTTCAGCTATCTTARCTACTACCTGAATAATCAGATTTCAGCTGAAAACAACTTTCAATTAGAAATGTTCCCAGCTGTAGAACATTAACACATTTGAGTGGCYAGACCAAACAATTTATGGATTAAAAAAGAATAATTTATGGAAAAAAACACATTTACAAGTAAAGTATAATGACAGGACTGTTCAAAACCTGATTCAGAAAACATATCTGGACCAAACACAAAGYATGGAAATCAGTGCAATGCTGACCACAACTACATGACACTTCAATGATACAGGGACAGGCAGTTTCAGGAGATGCTTTCTAGAACCATGATTTTAAATACCAAAAAAACCTCAAGTAAAAACAAAATATTCCTTTCCTCACCTCTGTTGGCATTCCCAAAGAAGAAGGATGGCACACCAGGGTTAAGGCATGCAAAAACAAGTGAAAATTTGTCCTACCTTTGCTAGTTACAAAAGAAATATTTCTTTGCTTGCTTAAAAAATGAAGCAATGGAAAGCAGAAAAAGGGAAAAAAGGCTGGCATAGACAGACAGCCATGTTACACAACTCCCTGCTTAGTAGGCACAGTGATGATGCAAAGTAAATGTAAAAAAACTCACTTTTAGGTGTCACCTTGTGGCCTGGAACACGGTGATGCTGGAGTTGCCATAGGTCAATCCTCTGTCTATCCCACACACGCTTGTATCCTCAGACCACTTTTATGGTTGTGGGTAGGTGATCTTACTGTCTGAACTCCCTCATGAAGTGTTGTTGGGCCATTCCCCTTCTCAAAGACATTGGGAAGTGATCTCRGCCTTGCCAGAAAGTGCCCATTTCAGGAAGGCCCCCAGTCCTTAAGCAGGCCTTTGGTTCTTGTTTCTCCACAGGCAGTTCCCTGGRATCTGTCTCTGAGGGGAGCAGGGCAGCCTGGCACAGCTATCCTGAATAACAACCATCAGCAACCACAGCTTTATAGCACCCACCTCAAAAAGAAGCCAGGTTTTGCTTTGTCTGTGCTTGTTTTCTGAGGTCAGCTCTCCGGCTGGCTGATCTCCAGGGGTGCCTGTCCCTCCTGAAGCACTCATTGCCCATGGAAAAAAAAACCTCGTTTTCCTCAGGGAAATATCACCTCCTCAGGAATAGGCTTTGCTCACAGCTCTGGTGCCCTTCCCTGGCTCCAAGTTTCACTAAAACCAGTGATTTTTCCGCACCCTTGAGCAGCATTTGGGAAGGCTCCCTGTGAGGCACCTCAGGAGCTCTGAGGGGAGCGGGAGCTCCCGGTGGATTCCTGCAGCAGCACCACAGGGCACAGCCCAGCTCTCAGCCCTGGCAACTCTGTTTAAACACATCTTAAAAAGGGCAAAATGCCACTTGGCAGAGAGGAATTTAGGGGGAAAGTGTGAGAAAGACAGCAGGAGAGGTTTATCTCCACACAGGAGGTTTTTCATCCCGTTTTTGCCTCTCTTGACATGAGGGGTGAGCAAGCAGCTGTACCAGCACATGGAAGGAGGAAYATTAGTTACAAGGAGTAATAAATGAGGGTGAAATAGTTTTGCTTCTGCCTTTTAAAGCCACTAATTCTTCCAAGAACGGCAAGTACCAGAGTCCCTACAGTTGCCTGATAAAACCACTCAGCCATTGCCTGAGTGCACCATCCATCAGCAGAATCTGCATAACCCACACGCAAATGGTGACTCAGGCTCTTTCCGAGTCATCACCACAGATTGGGGAACTCATTTTTCCCCAAACCTCACCTTTTTTTTTTTTTTTTTTTTTTTTTTTTTTTTTTTTTTTTTTTTTTTTTTTTTTTTTTTTTTTTTTTTTTATTTTTTTTATTTTTATTTTTTTTTGCCAGGAATAACATATCAGTCTAGCAATATTATAAAGCCTTAGAGGAAAAGAGACTAGACTTGATGGTTTATAAAAAGCAAGTTACCAATAAGGAATAGCTGTTGACATTGCAGTGCTGCCACACAAATGCTCAGCAGACAGAACCTAATAGTATTAAAATAATAAGCAGCTAGTATTTAATGTGTATTTAATGTGTACCTGGAGAGAGCTGATGTTGTCAGGACAGAAAATAACAAGGACACCAGTAAGCAGTTTGCAGAAGGCAGACACACACAGCTGGGGCCTTCCAGACACATGATGAAAGCTTGAGTAAGAGCTTTCCCTATGCAAGCAGATTTAAAAGCTCAAGTTTATAAAGATGCTTGCAGTAAGGTATGAAAATAAAATGTGTTCAGTGGTTAGTTAGAGAAAAATGGAAATCAGCAGAGTTAAAATACAAAGTTCTCAGCCCAATCCTAAAACCTATTCTGCAATTAATTTTATTGGTGTCTGGACTAATGACATGGTGGCTCTACTTACATACACTGTGACTACATTTCTGCTTTCAGCATAAAGAATAAATCTGTACATGCTTTTGAGATTATGATGTGCAAGACTAATTTATACCAGGCCATGCATACAAACAAAAAAAAATAAAGCTTTTTCTTAACTGAGAATTTAAGATCACAGTGTTACTGGTCAAAAAGTTATTTTTTACTACTCTGCAACTTGTCTTTGCTGGCAAACAGAGAAATAACTCCTATTTATAACACTGGACAAAAATTACTAATATTCTAGCACTAACCATTGTAATATGGCCTCTGAAAAAGCCTGGCTGGCAGATTGTAAGCATGCTGGAGGCAGTCCCTTTGCAATAAAATCAGACTGTTTCTGCATCTTCAAAACAGCAGTAGCTGCAGATCCGGTAAAGTTCTTCCTACGACATTGACTGACTCAAAGATATTGATTTTTCTGAGATTGAAGAGTGTAATACTTACATGACTCAGTTCACACGGCACTGCTGAAAATGTGATAAATATGACATTTTGCTAAGCAGCACAGCAAACTAAACTAAGGGCCCAAGTAAAATTCAAGAGCTGAGCTTTTGGGTAAAGTGAATTATTTTGTGCATGCTCTACTGTGCTTGTGATATTACAGACACTATTYTCCTTACAAGCTTTGACAGCAGTCAATACTTTCTTCCTTTACTAACAGATCCAACACTGGATCTTAACAGCTGGTCAGCCTAAAAATGCCTGAACACTTGAATTAAAAAACAAAAAAAAAAAAACAATTCGAAAATTATAAACCACCAAACCAGTGTTGCACTACCAATACAGCAAGGATAAATCTTTAAAACCCAAAAAATTCAGTGAAAA